ACTTGTTTTAATTTTCCGTAGCTTCAACCTGAACTTGAGTATGAAGAGTTGATGGTCTGTTCCACAGTCTGAACCTGGCCTTGTTTTGGTTCTTTTCCGCTGTTTGTTCTCACAGATGTAGTCAGTTTGACTCCTGTGAATTGTCTGGTGAGGTCCATGTGTATAGTTGCCTTTTATGTTGTTTAAAAAAGGTTTTTCCAGGGAATAAGTCATTGGTCTTCCAAATTTCTATCATGTGATCTCCAGCATCATTTCTGTCACCAAGGCCATATTTTCCAACAAGTGATCATCTTTGTTTCCAGCCTTCACATTCTAATCATCAGTAATTATCAATTAAGTCTTGATTGCATCTTTGATCAATTTCAGACTGAAGAAGTTGATAGAATTCTTCAATTTCATCATCACTGGCTTTTATGGTTGGTGCATAAATTTGAATAATAGTGGTATTAACTGGTCTTCCTTGTTGTTGTTAAGTACTGAAGAGTTGTTTCCGACTCATAAATACCGTGTACAGGGCCTCTGAGGAGTAGCTGGTGAGTTTGAACTGCCAACTTTGCAGTTCAAACGACCTTGCAATCCAGTGCTTATCTTAACAGTGCCACACCAGGACTCTGGTCTTCCTTGTAGGCATATAAATATTATCATATCATAGACAGTGTTGTACTTCAAGATAGAACTTGAAATGTTCTTTTTGCTTATGAATACTATGCCATTTCTCTTGAATGTGTCATTCCTGACACAGTTAACCATGTGATTGTTGGAGTCCAAATGGCCAATATCAGACCATTTCAGCTCCCTAATGCCTAGGATATCGGTCTTTAGGTATTTTATTTCATTTTTTATAACTTCCAATTTTTCTAGTCTTACATCATTACATTCCATATTCTGATTACTAATGAATATTTGCAGCTGATTCTCCTCATTTTGAGTTGTGCCCCATCAGCAGTTGAAGGTCCCACAGGCTTTTCTCCCATGGGCTTTACTCCATTCACACCATCACAGTCAACTGTACTTCGAGGAGGCAGCTCTTTCCCAGTCATATTTTGAGTGCCTCCCAACCTGAGGGGTTTATCTTTCAGAACTCTATCTGACAATATCCTGGTGCTCTTCATCATGTTTTCATCTTCCAGAACTGTATCTGACAATATTTATAAGATTTTCAGTGGGCTAATGCATTAGACCGCAAAGTAGTTTGAAATGTAAGGTCGGTGGTTCAAGCTCACCAGCTGCTCCTTGGAAACAAACATTCAGCAGTAGTCCACCTCTCCTTCCTAGTCTGTCTTAGTCTGGAAGCTCTGGGTGACCCTGCTGGGATTTAAAATACTGATGGCACAGCTTCCAGCCTCACAGCAAACACTGAAGCCACCAAAGTATGAGGAACTGACAGACAAGTGGTGGTCTATAAAGACTACAGCTTAGGAAACCTTATGGAGCACTTCAACCCTATCATATAGAATCAACCTGATGGTGTCAGAATCAACTTGATGACACCCCAAAACAAGGAAAGTTCACTTACATTGTAAGGCAGTCAAATAAGTAAAATGTCAAGATGCCTAAAACAAGGATCGTTCTGGTACATAAGAAAGAGTGACCCTCAGTTATATGGAAAACCACCCCCAAAATACCCATGGCTGTCAGGTTGATTCTGGCTCAGCAGTGACCCATGTACTATAGGGTAGAAAGCTGTTCCATAGAGTTTGGGGACTGTAACTTTTTTTTTTTTTTTTTAAACGTATTGTTGTGACTTAGGTGAAATTTTCACCAAGTACATTAGTTTCTCTTCAACAGCTTAGAAGGTTTTGTGACTGTTGCAAACCACTCAAGGCAACAGCATTCTCCCTCCCTGGGTTCCCCGTTTCCATTTGTTCTACTTGCCTTCTGAGCTTTGAGCTTTGTTTGGGGCAGGTGGTGCCCTGTTGGTCTCATTAATTACTCTGTGGAGCAGGTTCCTCAGGGATTTTACTATTCGCTTTTAGGCCTGATTGTTGTTTGGCTGAAAGGTGATTTCTGAAAGTGGGTTTAGTTCCGGGTTTGAAGGGTGTCTCAGGGCCATAGACTCCAAGGTTCCACCAGTCTCTGTCAGACCAGTAAGTCTAACATTTTGTGCTACATTTTTCTCCCACTCTGCCCCAGCCCTTGTACTGTGATCCCGATCAGAGCAGTCGGCAGTGGTAGCTGGGTGCCATCTGGTTCTTCTGGTCTCAGGGTAGGAGCGGAGGTGTGGTCACGTGGTCATTAATTCCCTGGACTAATTGTTTCTTTGAATCTTTGATTTTCTTCATTCTAAATTTTCTCCAGATGGGGAGAGACCAACAGTTGTGTCCTAGGGTGACAGCTCAACAAACTTTTAAGACCCCAATTGCTACTCACCAAAATAGAATGCAGAAAGTTTTCTTTGTGGACTCTTATGCTAGTTGGCCTAGATGTCCCCCGAGACTATGGCTTTCATTCCCCAAGCCCAGTGACTAAGTCCTTCTAGGGGTCTGGTGAGGGAT